CATCGCAGCTGGACTGCGCATTGTGCGTACTAAAGCAACCGTCACAGTCCAGTTCTGCTGAAATTGTGCCCTGCTCAGGACCCCCCCACCCCCCGACCAGAGGGAACGGGTGCTCGGTGGCAGTCTTACGAGCCACCCCAGCAAACGTGATTTAGAGGTCAACCTGTGCAAATTGACACGCGTACAGGGCATTACCTGGTTGGGCCCCAGGCAGATGATGTACTGGGAATCAGCTGGGCTGTTTGCCCGATGACACAACAGGAACTGGCCGGCACTGGGCCTCCCGCAGGATGGGACCTCCATCTGTGGACACGCCTCAGCCTGGTTACAGGAATCTCTTCATGGGCACAATGAAGTGTGCACAATGCCGAGCCCGGGTAGCTGAGCGGGATGTCTTTATGTTCTCCAGAAATCCATTCCTGCCTCTGACAGACCAAAACTAACTGGCAACTCCCAAACTATTTTTAACTTTCTAAAAATAGACTCAAGCCTCAGACAAAATTAATGGAGCCAAAGTTTGAAGGAACGAATCAGAAAGGGTGACGCAGATTTGAAAGTTGCCATTAATGGCAGCAATATCAATTCATCACAAATCTGACCACTGTGAAGCAAGCCCTACTGTTTTCTTTCTTTAGAACCTTAACTCCAGTTTGATTCACAGACAGGATTAAATCTCAGAGAAATCTCCTTTGGCACTTTCTCATTATGGCTGATTTTCTAACCGTTAGGAAAATTTTTCCTAATGATTGACCTAAATATAAAATAGAAACCATATTTAAAAATAAAGACTTAGGCATCATGGTACTGTGGACAGAATGTCTGATGGATGGAAAAGACTGAGGCTTAACCATTAGCATTCACAGAAGCCAATCAACAGCTCCTTCAGCCTGACCTCCCTTGCAGGATTGTTGTGAAGATAAAATTAAGGAAGAAGTGTCACCCTAAGCTCCTTGGAGAAAAAAATGGAATAAAAATGTAATGAATGATAATCGCCAACAGGACATGAAAGATAATAATCTGGATGGTTACTCCATCTGGATATTAGCTCTAATTTTGACCACTTAATTTAGCTGGCAGTTTTTTCTGCGACCTCCCCTGCTTTCCCACAGGGCTCAAGAAACTTCCTTAACTTCAGCCAGTACCTGGAGCAGCATTGCAAATCTTTCACCTGTTTATTCTGCTTCAAAGGAAGCTACTTAACATATAGGCGCTCTGTGTAGGCTAAGGGTGAGCTGGGGTTTCACATCATTTCTGGGAGCTCCTTAGCATAACATGAATGCATTGATTTCCAGAGTCCCCAGCCTGTAAGCCAGCTGTTTGGGTGCCCAGGCCAGGCTGCTTGATCGGCATTGTCTCTCACAGGACCCTTTCGCAAGAATGCAAGCAAGCCAGCGACAGACAGTGGCTCCGCAAAGCCCAGGGCGCGTCCTGCAGCTTGTGGAGGACCCTGCGGGAAGCTGCCGCAAGCTCCTGTGGAATGCGCCCCACAACGTGCTGGGCCTCACATGAGCAGCGCACAAAGGAGCTCAGCAAACAGCCCCAGAAGCCGCAGATAAGAGGAAAGACCTGGGAAGTTCAGGGCCTGTTGCCCCATTCTAGACGGTTACCTAATGGACAGAAGGCGGAGAAGCAGCACAAAAAGCTGCTGCAATGTGGGTCCCCATCCCAGGGGTCCCTTAGCATATTTCAATATTAATCACGATGATGATGATGATGATTTAATGGTAAAGCACTCTGCGAGAAGCTTTTAAGGACTAGAACCCATTTGACTGAAGTGTTGGCCTCAGATGGCAAACACACACACACACCCCTTGGACGTGCGGAGAGTAAGTCACGAGGCCAGAGGAAATCAGAGCGAAAATGCAACATCTGGCCATTATTTTAAAACTGTCAGCAAGCGGTGCCGGGGAAGCACAGGGGTGCTGCGCGTGGCGGCTGCCTCAGCCTGCCTCCCTCGGCCACCCCGGGAAAATGCGGTGCGCGAGGCACGGCAACTGCACAGTGAAACACTTGCACAGGGGAAGCGCCCGGAGTCTCGCAGCACCTTAATGGCTAATGGATGTTTTGGCAAGTGCTTCTGTGGACTAGAGTGCACTTCATCAGATGCGCTGAGTAAACAGTAGGCTGGAGATAAATGAAATGCAGTTGGAGAGGACGGAAGTACAGAGATCATTTCTGTGGCCATTCAGAAAACAACTGCTGAAAGCACAAATACCTCAGCAGCAGGTGAGCTAATTCATATAGACAGTTAAGCATCTCATAATTCTGATCCAAGTGGCAGGAGATGGAGCTGAGCATGCTCGCGGACGTCTGCTCCGTGGCATCTAGTTCTTGTCCCCTTTTTGTTCCTTTGCTCCACAACAGCCACTCCAAGATCAGCTTGCGAGAGAGAAATGTTCCCCTCCATTTTTTGAGCGTTGCCATTCTTGATGTCACATGGATAGTCATTGTTTTCTGGCTGGTTTGTACTGTGTGGGATGCAGATGGGCACTGAGGACAGAGGCTGGCGTGCATCGCCTTAGCAGAGGAGCAGGTGAGGGGCTTGCAGAAACTTTGAAGAAACTTCGGGGTGCTTCCAGCTGGATGGCTCCTAACACAACCAAACCGGGTAGCTCTTCTTCCCCTCCTCCTCCTCCTCCTCCTCCTCCTCCTCCTCCTCCTCCTCACCCCCCATGAAGGAGAAATAAAACAGCAGGTTGGCAAATGAAAGGCACTGTTACAGCCTTCATTTCTGGCAGCCCAGTTCATATTGTGAGCTTTATGAAATGATAAGATCCATGACAGAAATGGCTGCGGAGATGCCAGGCCCTGCAGTGAATGGAGAGCAGCTCTTGCTTGCGAGCCAGTGTGTGGCAGGATCACGACCCTGGGAAAGCACTGAGTGCACCCCCTCCAAATTCACCAGGGCTCGCTGCCCCCTCCCGACCTTTCGCCATAGTTGCAGTTTTGCCTCATTATGCAATGAGATTCCGCGTACCAAGTGCTTCGAGGTATTAGAGCTGAAGGATCAGTGGCTACACTAGAGAAAAATGCTGCCCTGGTTTTAGCAGTGAGGAAAAAGCCTGGATCCCGGGTGAGGAAGCAGCCAGAAAATTACGGTGAGACACCCTTTTCTGGTTTTCGCCATCTGTTTTAACATCCCAGCTAAAGATGTACAATTTCTAGAAATAGTAATGCCCTGGAAATCAATGGAGACATTGGGAGAAATGAACTGTACACAATGCTTACTTTCTCATCACTTTTGCTTACATTTTTCTTACAACTTTAAGAATGTGCCATGTGTTACGTATAATTTGGCACACAACATTTGTTTTGTTTATTAAATTTTAAAGCACCAGAATTTGCAGTCTAATCCTAGGCATGTCTACTCCAAAGGAAGTTCTAGGGTGTTTGATAATATTTACCTTCAGGTAGGGGTTAGAATTGCTACCTCAATTTTATACCAACCATTGATACACATATAACCTAAGGGATCGTACGATTCTTCACTTTTGCCACTTAAGGAAGGAGGAGGGAGCGTCAGTTTAAGACAGAACATTGCAATATAGGTACCTGGCAACCAGCCAGTCCTTTCCTGCTTGGCACCCTTGGCATGAACAGAACATCTGGAATGTGATAGACATCTGGAGTGCAGTGGCAAACATCTGCAAGAGGACATTTGCCTGAGATGACCTGGCATATATCTAAACCACAGTTCCCAGAAATATGGAACAGCGGCACTCTGAAGCATCCATGGCTGCAGTCCCAATCCAGGAGTCCTTGGAGAGGCACTGGAGGATCCAGGTTCAAATCCCTGCTCAGCCATGAGGTCCCTGGGCAATCCGGAACCAGACTTACTCTCCCAACCAATCTTGTTGTGAGTGCAAAATCAGAGGGGGCAAGGAGATCTCCATGTTTCCCCTGAAATTCCTTGGAAGTGCAATATCGGTGTAATACTTTAATATGGCTCCACCTTTTACTGAAAGGCTGAATTTTCTGTGGGTTCAAAAGGATGGAAACTGCACAGAGAAATCATTAAAGAGTGACACAAGAGACCACAAAAAGCAGCCAGTCCCACGCTGGTGCATTCCAGAAAGATCAGACCACGACTATGAGGATGGCTGGGGATAACAGGACTTGCAATCCAAGGCATCTGGGAATCACAGCGGGAGAAATGCTGGAGGAAATGCTCGGTAAAAACTGGAGGGACAAAGGGAGGCTACTCCCGGGAAGGAAGCAGCCACATCCCTGGCCAGAGGACAGGTCCGTCCACTCCGACATCTGGTTGCTCACAGGAGCAACGGGCAGAAGGCTGGCTTCCAGATGCGTTGGACTCCAGTTCCCAGAAGCGCCTGCCAGCATGGCCAGTGGCGGGAAATGCTGGAAGGTGAAGTCCAAAACCACTGGATAGCTACGCCAGGCGCGCCGCCCCCTCCCCGCAGCTGGTCGAGTGTTCCTTAGCCGGGAGCGGACGCCTTGCGCTCATGCGGGCAGCTGCTTGGCTTGACCTGTTCAGCCACCAGCGGACCCAGGAACTGATAAGCGGTCCTTGCAAGCCATCCAAACTGGCAGGCGCCGGAGCTCGCCTGGGTGCCATCCACACACTCGAGTTAAAGAGAGGCAGTGGGGCAGGGGACACGCGTGGGCCCCAGCCCAGCTGATCCAGGGGCTCAGACGCGCGAGAGCTCCGCTGGGCCCCTGGGCGGGCAGCCGGGCGGGCGAAAGGGGCTCCAAATGGAAGCCTTGGGGTTTCACTCCTGGGGCCGCCCTCGCACCGCCTCCGCCCCGTTTTTTTTTTTTTTTTTTGGGGGGGGGGTGCTGGAGGACGAAGTGGGGCGCGGCGAGGCGGCAGGCGAGGGGGAGACGAGCCCCCAAGCGAGCGGCGACGCGGGCGCGCCGGGCGAGGGCCGCGCTCCGAGCAGGCGGCCTGGGGGCGCCCCCGAGGGGGCGCAGGGAGCGGCCGCCAGCCCGGCCCAGCCCGAGGGCGGGGGCTCCGCAGCGCCTGCCCCGAATAAAGGCGGTGCGCTCCTCTGCTCGGAGACGCTGCCTTGTCACTCGTGGTCTTGCGCAGGGAGCGCCCAGCCCAGGAGGAGCCGCGCCGCCGCCGCCCCACGGAGCCGCAGAGGAAGCCCGCCCGAAGCCGCCGGCAAGATGCCGAAGACGGTACGTTGGCAGCGCGCCCGCCCCGGCCCCGCGCCGGCGGAAGACTGCGGCCGCGGAGCGCTCTCCGCCGCTCCGCGCGCCCTCGCCGGGGCAGGCGCCTCCTCTCGCCGCCCGCCGCGGCGCCCGGGGCCGCTCGCCCGTCCCGTGCTCTGCGGCGGGCTCGGGGGCAGCCTCGCCGGCGGCTCCCGCTGGGCTCCCGGGACGCCCTGCCCGCCAGCCTCGCTGGACCGCGCTGCTGCATCCGCCCGCTTCCCCTGAATGGGCTGCTTTCATGGCGGAGAGGAGGAGGAGGAGGGCCGAGGCGCGCGAGGGCGGCTCTGCCTGCGCGGGCGGGCGAGGGAGGCGAAGCGAGCGGGGCTTGCGGGGAGACCGGCAGCGCCGCCCCGGGCAGCGCCGCTTGGAGCTGCCTGCGCCCCACACCAGCCGCGGCCACCCGCCCCTGCCCAGCCCGGGCACGCGCCCTCGCCCACGCCCGCCCCGAGCCTTCGCGCCGGCCGTGGCTCGGGGGGGGGGGGCTGAGCGGCGCTGCCCCTCCGGCGCGGGATGCGGCGGACCCGCGGGGCTCCGCGCCGGCCGGCCGCGCGCTCCGGGCCAGAGGCGGCCTCGTTGGCGCTCGGGCTCGCCCGTGGGATGAATGGCTGCCATTGACGCGGGCGGGGAGGGAGGGAGGGGGAGGGGGCCCGGGGGCGTGCCCGCAGCCTGGCGCGCCCCTCGGCCGGATCCCGCGCCTGCCTTTGTGCGCGGGACGGAGCCTGCTCCCGCGGGGGCCCCGACCCGGGGGCGCCTGGATCGTGGCGCGGCTCTGCCCTCCGGGCCTCGGGCGAGAGCCGTGTGCGGTGTGGGCGCTGCGGAGCCCGCTCCCCCGAGGCACGGAGGCCCAGGCAGGGCTGCTCAGTCCAGCCCTGGGCCGCCTCCCGGGCCGGGCTCCTCTTTCTTCAAGCACGTGGTAGAGCTGGCCAGAGGGTCGCGCCGCCCGGGTTTCCCTCGTCTTGGCTGCGCTTCGAGTGTCTTGCAGCTTGAACCTTTCTTTTTTCGTTTTCGTTGTTCTTTTGCGATGCAACAGTGTCTTTCTGTTCCGTGGCTTTTCGGGGCTCTCTTCTGTGAATTGCCTGGGCAGCTTTGGCTACTGGCTGGTGTGGACGCGTAAAACCGGTCAATCGCTCAGTGCGGGGGCCAGAGGCTCCCCAAGTAAGGCTTGAAGAATGGGGGTACTTGCTTTGAGACAAGGCTTGGTGAAAGAAGGGGGCATCTCTTGCCAGAGTGTCCAGTGCTCGCATCTGCCCATGTGTGCCTTGGGCTCAGTCCCAGCCTCTCCAGCCAAGGTGGAGAAGAGAGACCTGGAGACTTGAACACTGTCCGAGATCCACCCAACTCGCTTCCAGGGCCCTCCTGCCTTCCCTGTGCATCGGCCTGGTGCTTGTGGTCGAGCGCGAAGGAGCAGAAGGAAACTTGCATTTGCACCAGTGAAAAGCCCCCCCCCCACCCCAACTCCTCCTTTCCTGGGAACAAGCAGCATGTGGGCTCACTCAGCCCAACTGCCCCTGCTCGGGTCCTTCCGCTGGTGGGAATACCAGAACTGATCGGAAAGAGAGTTCCTGGTTTGTTACTCCCAAATAAGCCAGGATTCCAAAGCCAGAGTTTATGATGCAGGCTAGTAAGAGCAGGATCCTGGTTCAGACAGCAAGAATAAGCCCGGGGTGGGGCGTGCGTGGCTCTCCGGAAAAGAACACCGGAAGAGCCTTGCTGAATCAGGCCCAGGGGCGGATCAGGCCCCTGAGCTCATGCAGCGCCAGACCAGGGGCCTGGGGAGGCCCACAAGCAGGACGTACGCTCAGCGGCGCTCTTCTGGCCAGGCCCCGCCGGCCCGCTGCTGTTCCCGGCATCCCTTGCCATGGCTATGCTGGCTGCAGAGCGGCAGGCCACCAGCACATCCTTCCCCACAGTGACAGACTTCCTGTTTCTGGGCAATCCGCCCCTGGTGAGAGGGGGAGGCAGGAGCGAGCTGGCTGGGCAGACCGGGCCCACGTTGGGGCAGGGAAGTTTCAGCCCCTCTCCTTCCCCTCTGCATGTGGAAGCTTATCCTCTGCTTGCACTCCTTCCAGAGCTGTGGCTAGCGGGCGGGGGGGGGGGGGGCGGACTTCAGCAGAGGAACATGCAGAGAAGGGCTCTCCCAGGCTTAGCCCCATTCCGGATCTGTCCCTCTCCTCCAGGGATGGCTTCTCCGAAGAAGCAGGGAAGCCTGGCTTACTGGCAGATGTGCACATGGCCAGCGAAACTGGCTGCTCTCAATGGGGGGAGTTGGCTAAGGAGATGGTGAAACTTCCCCATCTTAACTGCCAGAAAGTGGCCTCACGCAGTTAGTGCTCTTCTCTGCGATTGGACAGGAAAGCCACACGCTGCCGCCTCCAGTCTTGTGCCGTCCGCCTGCCAGGCGGCCATTTCTGTGCCACCTGCTCCCTCACCCTGTCCTTTATCCGGCATCGAAGGAAAGGCCACCTTGGGGCCACGGGGCAGGCGCGGCTTCCCCTCGGCCCCCTTCCACCCTGAAACGCAGCAAAGCACCATGTGGCAGCCAGCAAAGACTGGCCACAAGCAGCCTCCTGAGCCAGCGTTGGCCAGTGGGATGCCCCCGGGCACGCAGGAGGACGCCACCGCGGAGGCCTTTTCCTTTTATGGAGCAGTGCAGCACACAAAGGCCAGCCGTCGCCAAGTACAGGCATGGCTTTCTGGGGGCTTCTTTTGTGCCTCATGACTCCGCTGGCCCTAGACACGAGCACTGCAAGGGGAGTGCTTCCCGTTAGGTTTTCTGCATCCCCAAATGTTGGGCGTGATGCAGTGTGAGTCTCAAAACAGGCACCGGAGCAGAACAGTGCCAGCTCTGTGGGGTTGCGGCCAATGCAGCCCTGTAGGTGGGGCCCTAGAGAGACTTGGCCAATGTCCGGGAGACTGGACCGGTGCCTGCAGGCAGGCCGCTGGGGCCCCACCCAGGGCCGTATCAGGCATATCTTGCATGTAGAATGCACGGAATTCCTCCTGAATGGAATTTCAGACATCCCCCGGGACCTCAGAAAGGAAAGTGACTTACCCGCAGGCCAAAAGATGTGTCCCGTAACACCAGTGAGTAGGTTTGGTGGCCTAGGTCGGTTGTGTGCTTTGTGAGCAGGATTGCTTAATCTGACTCCCCAGCCGCTCGCTGCTGCCTCGGCTTGAAGGAAAAGCACTTCTTGGCTCGGGAGGGCCCATGTGCTTCCCAGGTCAAGTCCGTGCTTGACTGCCTTCTGGAAAGAGAGGTTTCCTGTGGGGAGGGCCTCTGAGAACTGACAGAAGAAAGAAAGCCCCTTGGCCTGGAAGTTTTGCTACTCTGCTTCCAATTAGAACACTTTAATAGGAAACAATGTAGATGTTAGTGACTGTAGGAAACTTTTTGATATTTTAGTGCCAATTTTGACACTGTTACTTTTTGATTCCCTCTCTTTCTCCCCCCCCCCCCCCCCGTAGATGCAGTGCATATCTCTTTAAAATAATGGGCCCATTGTGACTTTTCCCCACCTGACTGCTGGCAAAGATCTGTTTGGTTCTGTCATTTGTTGCTGCCTCGATTGTACAATGGGTTCTTTAAGGGGACTGCTATTTGATACTTGAATGGGATAACCTTTGAAATGAGATTGATGCAACTATTCCTTCCTCCACCTTAAGTAAAACCACTGCAAGAAAAGGGGCCTTCATTCTCCAGAAAGAGGCTTTTCCCTGAATGCTTGCTTAGCGCTGAGTCGAGCCCAGAGCTTGGAGCAGCCAGCAGCGAGAGACATGCTGCAGGGACTGAGGCTGGGTGCGTTTTTTCTAGACACTGAGCAGCCAAGATGGATGTTGCAGCAAGGAAGCGCTTCCTGTTTCATGTTGACTGCGTCTCCCTCACGTCGGCCTGGTGTTTGTGCTCCTCTGCTTTGGCATCCACTGTAGGAGCGGTGTTGGAAAAGGGGGGTGTGAGAAATCGACTCTGTTGATTTTTTTTTTTTTTTGGTGTGTGTAGGGGGGGGGGATATGTGTGAATTTCTGCAGTCCATGTCACCTGGAAATGGACTGCAGAAATCCACAGTCTGGATGGAATCTATGTCTACAAATCAGTACATTTCCATGCTTGAGACATGTTTTGCAGACCAGGAAAAATGCACACACTGGAAAAGTGCAGAAAAGTAAAACATGTATAGTTCTAAAAAGTGACAAAAGCACTTTTATAAACAATGGGCCAACGGCATGCCAAGACTGTGCACAATTTGAAAATGCACACAAAATGCACACATTTCATAAAGACGCAAAAATAAAACCCACCTCCATGCACACAAATGTTTTCTCATCATAACCTCCCACATGCACATCCTCACGGAACTGGCATAAAACAGATTTCAGGAGTGTGTGGAGGGAGGCTGATATCTCTGGAAATCAACTTGACAGGTCTGCCCATTGCTATTTGCAGATATGAAATATCCGCTTTCAAGTGGCCACTCCCAGGCCATGACGCTCCCTCCCAAGGGAAGCTGGGTTTTTTCCCTTCTCTGCTTTGCTTTTGTAGGCAAAAGAGCATTTTATTCAAGAAGGCCTTTAGCCTGTACATGATCTGTTGTGGGATGCCCTTTTTTTCCCATAAATGTATCCAAAGCGTTTCGACTGCTTGTTTCGATCTATTTTAAATTATTTTGGTAGCCCCCTTGAGAGCCATTTTGATGGAATGGTAGGATATAAATCAAATGAGAGGAACTCGTGGGCCTGATTCCATCAGCCGGACTAAACTTGGGTACTTGTTCACACAGATATGCAAAGCTGCTGATGCCTTCAGCCTTCTGAGCTAACTTAATAGCTTGGCCCCCTTTCCGCTTCCTGAGCTGGGGGTTGCCTAGAGGCTTTGTATTCCCAGTAGTGTTCAGATAATCCTGTGGTGAGGTGACCTTCCACGGGTGTCGCACACTCACATAATGTAGCTGTTAAAAGTGGGTTACTGGGTA